CATTGATCAAAAGAAGGCATTACAATAGTTGAACAATGCACCAAAAGTGCTACAAAAGTTGCCTTACCATTGGCTAGGTTGGGGTACTTTAAAGGCACATGTGGTTTGGTTCAACACTTGGGTACCCCCTCCTTAATGGATTTTGTTAAATTGGCAAGAGGAAACATCCACTATGTTTGAGAAGTCATAATGAATTTTTTTTTAAATTCTACAAAAAGAGAAAAATTACAATACTTTGACCCAAATCACCTTTAATACTAAGGTATTTACATAAAAATTTACAAAGAAAAAAAGTCTACATTTGACCCTCCAAAGGTTGGCCTAAAGTTGCTACTGGGTAGGCAAGTCTGTGGCCTGCTATGGCCTACTATTGCTGGGCTGCTTCATGGCATGCCTTGGGCTGTCTTGCACCATGCCTTGGGCCTTAGCTTACACTTCCACTTGCACTAGAAACTTCTTGGTCATGTTTTTGGCTCTCCAAAAGGCACAATTGAGTGTGGCATCAAGGTGTTGACCATTGGATGGGTGCACATTGACAGTCTCCCCTACTTGAACGGTCGATGCCCTCAACAACTTTGCCCAATTAGCATCAATCTCGTCTTGAAAAGCCGACAAGTCTACTTTCTATTTCCAGCTGATTTATTCATCTCCAAGGCCTCTTCATTTCACCAAGTATTGTCTTTGTTTCTTCTTGGAAACTGTTTTCACCCGATCAGCCAAGATAGATTCAACAAACTTTTTTCCTGCTTTAGCTGTGATGGTTTGGTGTTTCAGCTCATTTTGGGTTGGATCTTTCTTGTCTAGATAGTATGGCTTCAAATAACTCACATGGAAATCTGGGTGCACTTTCAGGCAAGATAGAGCATCTATCTTGTAAGTACACTTGCCAATTCTCTTCAGAATGGTTACTAGTCCCTCATACTTGCGCACTAGCCTTCTGTCTCTTTTCTCTTTCCCTCATGAACTTGCATTGCTCGGGGTTGAGTTTGACAAGAACTTGATCCCCAACTCTAAACTCAAGTGGCCTCCTTTTTTCATCAGCCCATTTCTTTATTTTACTTGCTATTTTTTCAAGATAGGCATGAGTGATGTCATGGTTTCTCTTCCATTCCTTAGCAAATTGGTAAGCCCTGGATGACTTTCCTTCATAAGGTCCATCCAATGTGTGGGGCAACAGTGGCTGTTGTCCATTCACTATCTCAAAATCACTTTTACCCGTATAGCTACTCTTTTGAAAGTTGAAACATAACTGTGCTACATTAAGAAGTTGCACCCAATTTCGTTGATTAGCATTGACAAAGTGGCGCAAATACTCCTTGAGTATACAGTTGAAGCGTTTAGTTTGCCTATTTGTCTTTGGATGGTAGCTTAATGAAGTATTAAGTTGTGACCCAAGAAGCTTGATTTACTCTATCCAAAAGTTGCCAACGAAACGCGAATCTTGGTCACTAACAATACTTTTAGGCACACCCTAATATTTAACAATGTGCTTGAAGAAGAATTAGGCAATCTTCTCCACTGAAACGTACTTTAAGGCAGCTACAAAGGTGGCATACATGGAGAACCGGTCCACAATAGTCAAGATAGTCCCGATGTCTCCCACTTTAGGCAGTCCAGTGATGAAGTCAAGTGATACACTTTCTCGTGGACGTTTAGGCACGAGCAAAGGTTCGAGCAAGCTTGCTTTCTTCTTATCCTCAACCTTATCTTGTTGGCAAGTGAGACAAGTGAGAACATATTCATCTACATCATCACGCATCTCGGGCCAATAATATCCTTGCATCACCAATGCCAATCTTCGCTCCCAACTCGGATGTCCTGCCTAAAGTGTATCATGACACTCTCTAACAAGTGTCTTTCTCAAATCACCAGCCCTGGGTACAAAGATGCGGTTGCCTGTTGTCATTAGTAGTCTATCTTGAACCCAGAATTGGCAAGTCTTGCCCATTTTGACAAGGTTCATAAGATTCTCGACCACAACATCTTTGTCTAGATGAGCCTTGATTTTCTCCTTGATGCTGGTTGAAATGGAAGTAAGTGAACATACTTGATGGCACACGGCAAACTCTGCCTTCCTACTTAATGCATCAGCAACATGGTTGGTGGCACCAGCCTTGTATTCTAAGGCAAAATCAAACTCTGCCAACTTCTCTTGCCACCGTGCTTGTCGTGTGCTTAGCTTGGGCTGTGTTAAGAAATGGTTAATCACCGTGTTGTCAGTCTTTACGACAAATCATCAGCCCAAGATGTAGTGCCTCCCAAGTTCTTAGACAATGCACTACTGCAAGCAACTCTTTCTCATGAGCTGGATATCCCCACTCGGCATCATTGAGCTTCCTACTCTCATAGGCAATTGGGTGACCATCCTGCAAAAGAACACCACCTAAAGCAAAATCAGATGCATTAGTTTGTATCTCAAAAGCTTTACCTAAGTCAGGTAGAGCAAGAACAAGGTCTTTTGACATAGCTTCTTTCAAGGCTTGAAAGGCATGTTGGCACTCTTCTGCCCAAACATATGGCTTGCCCCTCTTTAGTAACTTTATCAATGGGGAAGCTAGTCTTGAGTAGCCTTCAGCAAACTTGCGATAATAATTAGCTAACCCAAGAAATGACCACAACTCTGAGACATTAGGGGGTGACTGCCACTCTTGCATAACCTTGACCTTCTCTTCGACCATTTTGATGCATCCATGCCCAACAATGTGCCCTAGGAACTTAATCCTCTCTTGTGCAAAATAACACTTCTCTAGCTTGACATAAAGCTTGTGCTCCCTTAACTTGGACAATACTTTTTTGAGATGTTCCACGTGCTCTTCTAAAATGGAGCTATAAATTACAATGTCGTCCAAGTATACTACCACCAATTGGTCTAAGTACTCTTGAAAAACTTCATTTATCATGGTACAAAATGTTGCTGGGGCATTGGTCAAGCCAAATGGCATGACTAAGAACTCATAAGAACCATAGCGAGTAATGCATGTGGTTTTAGGCTCGTCTCCCTCAGCAATTCTTACTTGATAGTGCCCCGATCGAAGATCTAGCTTTGTGAAGTACCTCACTTTGCTCAATTGATCAAATGAATCTGCAATTAGGGGAAGGGGATACTTGTTCTTGATGGTCAGCTTGTTGAGTGCTTGATAATCCACACATAAGCGAAGACTACTGTGGAGACCGAATAAAATCAATTAGGAAGTGGCCAAGACATTTGATCGATATCAGGCCAACGGCAATTCAGCCCTGACCAGGGGCTCATGAAGCCGAATAGGAGCATTGGCCATATAAGGAGCCGAATAGTAGCCAACACTCAACTGGAAGGCCGGCTAAGTAACTATGTGCGAGATCAAGAGTGGGCTTGAGCCTTGGGCCCAGATGTAAAATAAAAGGGAGGAATGTCAGCCAAAGGAGGTATGTGAGAATTTACAAGATAACTTGAGATATAAGTAAATTGCAGAGAATATTGACTTGTCTATTGTAGTGCTAATTCCGACACCCCCAACCGGAGTGTTCACCTCTTTTCAGGTAACAATCAGAGGATCAAGGACGTCTAACTAGATTCTGGAGTATTTCCAAACCACTTCTCCACAATTGGCACTGTCTGTGGGAATACTCAAGTGCATCCATGACAGGTGTGATAGATGATCCTTCAATAGTTGCTGACAATGTTACACCAAGAGATGACACTACTCCAAGAAACATGCTTGGACCGGAGAATATCACCACGCAACGGGCCTTGAACTTCGACCCAGTAGCTCAAACCTCACCCTCAACTTCTGTGCAAAAGACAGTGCAGATGATCATGGGTCATGCAAAATGAAACGAACAGCGTCTAGAAGATATGATGGCTAAGAACGAGCGTTTGCGTAAGGAATTGACCCTAGAGTTAGCCAAATCCCAACGGGCCGCACCCCATGATTGGGGTCAATCCCCAGAAAAGAAGAAGGATGATTGATGACATTAACTTCGAAAACATGATAATGGTAGTGATTCTGACTCACCATCTCAGGAACCCAGAAAAAAGGGGCGAGTTGATGTATCTGGCTCATTCGAAAGAAGTCCATAAATACAGCACAGGCGAGAGAAATGGAGTGATGATTCGGACGAAAAGGAAAGGCACGACCCTTTCGTATGACGCATTACAAGGGTTGTGTTGCCTAAAAAGGTCAAAGCACCAACATTCACCCTATATGACGAAAAATCAGATCCCACTGACCACATTCGTCATTATAAACAAGCGATGACGTTGCATGTTGATGATGAAGCCCTCATATGTCGAATGTTTCCAGGTAGCCTGGAACCGTTGGCCATCGGATGGTAATATAAACTGGAGCCGGCGTCAATAAGAAGCTTTCATCAACTCCAAAAATCCTTTAGGGCAAGATTCATCACCAACAAAGTTCAGCCAAAGCAAGCTGACTCTCTCTAGGCAATGCAAATTAAACTGGAAGAGACCCTCCGTGAGTATTTGGCGTGCTATTGGGAATGTTTCAACTTGGTGGATGATGCCTGCAATGATTCCATGGCCATTACCGCCTTTAAGATAGGAATACACCTTAATAGTCCTCCCCGCAATTTGTTGACCAGACGGCCTCCCAAAACAGTCTGGGCGCTAATGAAGAAAGTTAAAGAATACTATAAGGTGAAAAACGATGCCCTGCGCGTCAAGGCCGGACAAAAAGTTATTAAATCGGCACCATCTGGTCTGGTTTAACCGATAAGCTCTATGCCGTCAAGGAGCCTCGAACCTTGGGCTTGGGCTAATGAGACAACTGGCGTGATTCGTGCCATTCAAGCGGGCAATATTTTGCACCGATCAAACGAGCAATATCAAGTGGATAGCAGGCACACAAAATGCTCGGATAAGAAATATATGGAATTAGCGGAGCCAATCAGTAAGATCCTGCCCAAAGTCCAACATCTTCCGTTCTTTAAGTGGCCGTCCAAGATGATAGGACCTCCTAATACAAGGAGAAGGGATAAGTGGTGCGAATATCATAAAGACCATGGCTGTTATCGACAGCTATCATGCACTGAAGGACCACCTGGAGGAGTTGGTACAAGATGGCCAACTGGCGCAACATGTCCAAAAGAACAATCCATCGAACACAGTAGCCCTACGGCCGGATTCACCTCCACTTGGTGTAATTCACATGATATACAACCTACCATCGTCGGCCGAGGTACATATAATTCAGTTGCAACCTGGCCTACCCAAGCCAATCACACCAGCCAAACGGCCCTACGAAACTAGTAGGATTAGCTTTGATGACACCGACCTAGATAGAGTAACTCTCCCCCACGCTGATCCCCTCGTCATCGAGCTACGCGTGAACAGATTCACAGTTGAGCGTGTTCTCATCGATCAAGGAAGCACCTTAGAAATAATGTATTACAAGACGTTTGTTAAACTTGGCTTCACTGATTCAGATATGTTACCGGTCGATTACCCATTATTCGGCTTCAATGCCAACCCCGAGTATCCCATGGGTAAGATCACACTAGCAGTACTTGCGGGTACCAGATCAGTAGATGTGGAATTTCTGGTCGTCAAACTCTCGTCACCATACAATCTTATCATGGGAAGGACTCGGTTGAATAGTATGCAGGCTGTGCCGATCACTTACCATCAACTACTCCTCTTTCCAACTGAGTATAGCATTGAGCAAATTCGGGGTTCTCAGAAATCGGTATAGGCATGCTATCTTATCGCTGCTGCAAAGAGGCCAAAGGAACTAGAAGTGAACTCGATTGAAATATTGGATCGAGAGAGCCTTGAGGACAATTGGAAAATCCCTAGTGAAAAGGCAACTGAAGATCTTGATCGGATCGAAATCAATGGGGTCCAGACAGATTCTTCATGATTGGCACTTCCTTGAACGAAGTTGATAAACACAAGTTGGTGTCCTTCTTACTTGGCAACCTTGATGTGTTTGCGTGGACACCATATGAGATGCTGGGTTGGATCCAGTTGTGGCCCAACATCATTTAAATGTCGATCCAAAAGTCAAACCAATCATTCAGAAAAGTTGGCGGCTAGCTACGGAGCATGCATCAGCCGTCGTTGATGAAGTTGACAGATTGCTTGATGCCGGGGCAATTCGTGAAGTCACTTATCCCACATGGCTATCCAATACCGTGGTTGTAAAGAAGAAAAATGGATCTTGGTGTGTTTGTGTCGATTTCACCGACTTGAATAGGGCCTGTCCGAAGGATTGCTTTCCTCTTTCTAGAATCGACTAACTTGTGGACGCAACGGCACATCATCAGCGCATGAGCTTCTTGGATGTCTACAGGGGTTATCACCAAATTGCTATGCATCCAAAGGATCAAGAAAATACTGCATTCCTCGGCCTAAGGAAAACCTATTGCTACAAGGTCATGCCCTTCGGACTGAAGAACGCAGAGGCAACTTACTAGAGACTGGTTACCACTATGCTCAAGGAACAACTCAGCCGCACCATGGAAGTATACATCGATGACATGGTGGTGAAATCCAAGGAAAAGCACGCCCATCTAGCCAATTTAGCAGAGACCTTCGGTATTCTCTGAAAGTATAACATGAAACTGAATGCCTCGAAATGTGCATTCGACATCAGATCTGGCAAATTTCTCGGCTATATTGTCAACCATCACAGAATAGAGGCCAACCCGAGGCAAATCATAGCAATTCTAGAACTCAGCTCCCCTCGGTTAGTTAAAGAAGTTCAGAAGTTTATGGGGATGGCCGTCGTCCTCAATAGGTTTATCAGTCATTTCTCAGATCGCTGCCGACAATTCTTTCACACATTTCGGTAGGGTAAAAATTTTGAATAGACCCTCGAGTGCCTGGTCGGGCTGGACAGCCTAAAAACTTATCTCCGATTAGTACCACTCGTGGCAACCCCATCGGTAGGCGATATGCTCATCTTGTATATGGCGGTATCTGACCGAGCGGTCAGCGCCGTGCTACTAAGAAAAGAACTCAGGGAGCAGTGACCAATTTACTATGTAAGCAAGGCAATGGTCGATGCCGAAACACAATATCTACCATAAGGATATTAATGGACTATCCTCTCTGGTCAGCGCTCTGTAGCGTGAAAGCATTAGGGCGAGTCTCGAAATGGGCTTTGGAACTCGGCCAATATGATATCCAATTTTTTCCTAATACTGCCATCAAGGGGCAAGTGCTCGCCGACTTTGTAGCCGAGTTCATGGGATGCCAAGCCGATTTCAAGTCCGATCAAGCGCAACCTAAACCCGACTGGGGAATATATGCTGGAGACATTTAGAAGATGTACTCTGACAGATCATCCAACCAACGTGGTAGTGGGGCAGGCATAGCAATCATGACCCCTGAAGGGGCAATAATCGAGTAGGCGGTCAAACTGGGCTTTGATGCATCAAATAATGAGGCCAAATACGAAACGTTGCTAGCCGGCCTTCGTAATGCACATCACCTTGGTGCGTTGCCCCTCTTTGACAGAACTCGGAGTCATGAAATGACGTGAGTGAATGTCAAAGCCCAGAAATGACCCATTTTGACAAGGCTGTAAGACTTGGACAAACAATCAAGACAGAAAACAGATGGTCGGGCTTGCAAACTGTCTACGTATCCCTTTGCAAGAAATCAAACCAGCGTAGTTCTGGAAAAAAATGCAAATGATATGCATTATGCAAGAACATAACTTATGATCATGCAATGAGGCTGTGCAATGAAACATTTAGATGCAAATGCTACGCAAAGAAATGCCATAGTTAAACAAACTAAAACAAGGCACAACAATTCCAATCACGAAAAGAAGTAAGTAAAAAAACACGCCACGCATGGGAAACATGAGCCGAACCACATTTCATGTGGAAAGGATGTAAGAAAATTAAAACTTAACTACGCGATGCGCAAGAAAGGCAAAGGGCATCATAACCGTCGGGCATACCCGAGATCTCAATCGAGATTCTAACACGTTGCACGCGGAAGGAGAAAAAGGATGGTGTGAACACCGGGACGCACCCGAATGTTTTTAAACGATGAAAACAATCCTAACGTGTCTCACATGAGACGAGAAAGGGTGGTGTGAACACCGGGATGCACTTGAATGTTTTTAACTGAAGGGGATGGTGTGAACATCGGGGCGCACCCGAATGTTTTTAACCGAAGGAGGTCGTGTGAACACCGGGACGCACCCGAATGTTTTTAACCGAAAGTGAGTGGTGTGAACACCGGGACGCACCCGAATGTTTTTAACTGAAGGAGGTGGTGTGAACACCGGGACACACTCGAATGTTTTTAACCACAAGGGAGTGGTGTGAACACTGGGACGCATCCGAATGCTTTTAGCCGAAAGGGTGTGGTGTGACCATCGGGACGCACCTGAATGTTTTTAACCAAAACAATCCTAACGCGTCTCATGCGAGAAGAGGAAAGAGTAAAAGGATGCGACTCAAAGGGCACGGATGATTTTGCCTGGAACTCCTCTAAATGAACCGTACATACAATATCGTGCATGTGTAAGAAAGAGACTTCACAAGTGCGATACAGTGCGAAATGCATGTTTTATGCAAGGCAAACAATCGAGATACAATGTTAATGGCATGTTCTATGCGAGAAACAAAAGCATAAGCATATTCTTTGCATGATTAGTAACGGGAGCATATTCTATGCGTAAAACAAAAAAATGGATGCAGCTTCCCTGCATGAAGAAGAATGCATATTCCATGCGTAATTCAAAACAAACGCATATTTCATGCATAATTCAAACGCGAACGCAAGACGCAAATGCAATTCTCGTGAGATGCACATCTTACAACAACATATGTGATATGTGAAATGCATATTCTATGCCACAAAGTGAAGTGCATGTTCCATGCAACAATGAATAAGAAATGCATGTTCTATGCAAGATACTAAAGCATGATTTGACGAAAACAAACTCAAAGGCAATTCCGATTCACCTCTCGGAGGAAATACAATGTATTTAAAGGATACACCTTGTTCACGTTGACAAGTGACGAACATGGCACACTGAAAACACAGTTTCGAGCTTTCACAGAGACATTCTGAGCCAAACAGTGAACAATCCCTTCAATTCTTGGAAATCAAAGACACAAAACAGCATCAAGAACCCAAGGAAAGATGCCGGCCACCTACCAGCCATGAGGGAACGCTGCTGGCTAGGTGCCAGCTAACAATAAGCCCTGCCGGCCATCGATGGCAGTCTGAGGGTAAATTGAACTATTTGGTTCGGGTCTTTAAGTATTCACCTCCACACTTCATTTCCTCACTTCCTCATGCCCGAAAATCATTCCCCTCTCTCTTTCTCCAGACACTCCTTTCTAGATTTGCACTTTCTACGTGTTTTTCAACACTCTACTGGAAGTCGATTAAAACCTCTTTGTTCTCTTCACTTTGAATCGATTGAAATTTGATTTCGGTGCTTCTTTCTTTGTTTCCACCATTCTAGGCTTGTTCTCTTCGAGTTTCTCTCGAGTTTAGTGCACTTTTTCTGGCTTTGACTTTTTCATCCATTTTCTCTCTCCTAGAGTTTGACTTTTTTCAAGTTTACAATTTTTCTTCATTTTTCTTCACTTTTCACCCAACTCACACCTATTTTCAAATGGCGGACGAGGTTCCTCATGACGGGGCTACTCTGGAGGTTCCCCCAATAGTTTCACCTATGCCGGAGGTAGAGGAGCCGATAGCTGACCTTGAAGTCGACATAGAGGCGAACTTCGAGCCCGAGGCCGAGCCATAGCCGTTATCACTGAGGGTACGACCTTTCGATCCGGCAAGATATCACCCACAGACGCACATACTGCCCACTTCCGAAGGCATCAGAGGCTTCACTGAGTTCGCCAGCGGTGCCCCGGAGGACCTCCTGCTGAGGGAGCTGGACTCTCACTTGTCAGCCATTGCCGTTGAGGTAAGCTGTAGACATGCTCGAACGTCCCGGGAAAATCCCGTCTTGTTCATTGGACTGCTACTACAGTTCGAACTCAAATGTCACGATTCTGAATTTGATCTCGCAAAGTGCAATGCAAGACCGATAAATCACCAAAGAGTCCCTATCCGGCAAATTGTTTTGGAAAACTAATTTTTATAAAGAAGTGCCAAACATGGACTGCTTTGCCAGATACAGAGTCGCCACCTAAATATTTTGTTTTGGGGGAAATTTAAGAAACCCTGACTCGTGCCTAAGGCCCCGTGTCCATCATCACCAAAGTTGCCTCGGCCCGGGAACTTAGGTACGAGAGGGGAAGGTCATACAATGAGCACCCCCTATCGCCCGATCAAACTAAGCATGATATCTTGTTTTTGAAAACACATGTGTTCTTATTCCGGTTAATTAGCTAATCTTACTACATGATGCACACAGCATACAAGTATAGACTAGATCGCCTAATTTGGAACAAAACATTGCATGCTCGTTTGTGAAAATGGTTTGGAAGTGCTACTCGCAAGTAGGCTAAATCAGGGATTTGCCACCCTCAAGTGGGCTTAGAAAACATGATTTTGCCACTCTCAAGTGGGTTTAAAAACTCGTATTTCGATGATTTGTTCCAATTCAAGTAATCCAACCTTCACCCATAGGCATTTAGACAGTTATATCACATAAGCAGTTAGCCTCATGGCAAGCATGCTATCATGGCAACACTAACACACATGCAAGATGCTGAAGCGAAAACACTTACAGTGTACTCCGAGCCAAAATAATAGCTA